TGTTTTTTGTAAAAAAAAAGGGATGATGCTAGAGGTGAGGGGGTGGCTTTTCCAGTAAGTTTAAATAAGCCATAATGCTTGCCCCTTCCAACATAAATTGACGTGTTTTTGGATTTTTCCTAAATACCAGTATTACAAAAGTTATTAAAGGTGGATACTTTTACCTGAAAAGCACTGTATATCTAGGCACACTGAACAGTCATAATTCCTGAATTATAAAATAATTGTCTGCAAGAGGTATCATTTTTCAGGTTAAGCATAGTTCTTATGATTTTTTCTGATAGATGAATATATCCTTGGATGTTGGTGCATGATACCAAAATATTACGCAATGATCAATCGCCGAATGGAATTGTCTATATTGACATGCAGTGGGGCTTCTGTACCGTTTCTGAAATGTAAATAATTGGTTTTATTTTTATTGATTAGAAGATAGTTCTTTTCACACCACTCAACAACTCGAGACACTGTTACAACAGTTGTTTCATTTAGAGTTTAGAGTATGAATATCCCTTTCTGACACAACAACTGAGATGTCGTCAGCGAACAGAAAAACTGAGCTGATGTCTATTTGGGGACTAATGTCGTTGATAAATATCAAGAAAAGTATTGGACCAAGTATGGAGCCCTGAGGCACTCCTATGCTAGTTTGTACTTTTTCGGAGTAGATGAGATACCGACTATTTGTGTTCGGTTGCTGAGGTACGATTTTATTAGATCACTGGCTTTTCCTCTTACACCAAAGCGCTAGTTTTAGCATTAGTAGCTCATGATTGATGAGGTCAAAAGCTTTCGTTAGGTCAAAATAAATGCCAATTACTTTATTGTCTTTATCAAGTTGATCAATTATATGGTTAAGTGAATCGTAAATCGCAGGTTTGGTGGATCTATTAGATAGGAAACCGTACTGATTCATCACAAATATTATATCATTTTCAATAACAATAACCTATTGTAAATGAGGCGTTCAATTATTTTTAAAGAAGTTGACATGATAGAAATTGGTCTATAGTTTGATATTACATTTTTCCCCCTTTTTGTAAAGTGGCACAATTTTTGCAATTTTTAATGCAGCAGGAAATATTTCAGTAGAAAAGCATTGATTTATTATATCTGCTAGTGGATGACAAATAAGGATCCCTTCACGTTCAAGTATAACAGTCAGTATCTCATCAACACCAACTGAAAATGTTGGTGGTAGGGCTATTATAGTACGGCGTCCTTCATCAGGACAGGTTATTTTCCAGAACATGGTGGTTATATGCGAATTACTAATAATATTGTCATTGTTCGCTATTTAAGCCCTGATGATAGCATGCTTGTATTTTTTTTTATCCCTATTATAGTTCAGGTGCAAATTTTCAAGCTTGGATTCTTTGTAATATGAATTCATATCGCGCCCACTCCCTGATCTCGGGTGTTACCCATTGTTTCAGTTTTTCTCTTTGGAAATTCGGTACTTTCCTAAAAGGAAATCTGATATCAAAATAGTAATAAAAATGTTATATGTTACTATTTTTCTATTACAGTCATACCCAAAGTTATACAGTGTAACCATAAAAGTGCGCACCATATGGGAAACTTTTTTTTCGAAAAGTTTCAATGAAGTTTAACTTCGGCACTTGTTTGTGCTTTAAATTTAACTTAAAATGATGCGGCCAACTGCGACCCACTGACATTCAGTGTTTGTCAAATTCACCTTTTTATTTAATTGAAAAAGTGCATTTCTAGGTCGAATTTAACAAAAAGTTACTTGAAAAAGTTGTGTCTACGGCAATTTTATATCCATATGCCAAATTTTATGCAACTAGGATAAAGTTAACGTTTTGCTTATTTTTGACAGATATCCCCTTTATTTTAAAAAA